TTCGCTTCCAGCAGAAATGCCAAAAAGTAAATGAAAAAATGTTCAGAGATGGCGCTACAACTTACTCTAGGCTAATGCCGTTTGGACGCGCTGACTTTCGGCTGCGAGCTCTCTTAACAGTGCCTAATCACCAAATCCGCTGAAAACTTGTATATAGGGGTAATCTAACATCCTGTTCACAAATATGACATTCATTCTTGGCGCTGGCGCTAATGGAGGACACTACGATTATCTTCTGGGTTCAGCTTTAGCAGGCAGATAATCGTAGTGTTCTCCATTAGCGCCAGCGCCAAGAATGAATGTCATAGTCGTAATCAGGATGTTGATTACCTCTATATCCGCTTTTCAGATGATTTGATGATTTAGGCACTTTGAAAATGAGCTCGCAGCCAAAAGTCTGCGATCCAAAAGGCATTAGCACTTACTTTATTGCATTGCGGACCGCATGTGGCATTGAATCAAATACAGCCTTAAACATAATTACAAGTGAGGAACTGTACATGGTATGAGGAAGCGAAAAGCTTACACAAGCCCATATGGCCCGTGAACTCATCCTACTTCCTTACAGTAGACATATGATTTCTTTTCACTTCTCGTTTGGCATTTCTGAAAGCGCACAGCCTCTCTGGTCCTTATATGAGCCTCCACACATTCCAAGAAAAAAACTTTTCCAAAAAACCCACGGGAATGACACCTTTTGTGAGAGTCGCCCTCTTGAGACATTGTGGTTTCGGCGCTGTCCAGCTTAAGAAGAGGTAGGGGCATTTTGCACTTTCACTATTCCGTTTTTGCTAGGTGCTCACCTTGGTGAGACACGTCATCTCCTGCGAACCGGCGAAATGGTATAAGTGGACTAATCTGGCTGCAGAATTTCGTGAATCTTGGAAAGGTAGCATGTACGAAGGTAGTGGATACTACGTGACACTCCCTTTACGCCGAACTGCGCCGTGCTTTCTATTATGTACATCAAACAGGTTACTTTTAATAAATGCTAGGGGGTGCCAAGGAAGCAGTATTCGGAGATGACTCCACCAACTCAACATTCCTGCAGAATCGTAGCGTCTGCCATAGCAGTAACCTTCACGGGAAAGCGTGTTCTTCGGTGTTAATATCATACCGAGGGGCTGGGAAAGTTCGTTGGTCCCGCCTGATTGTTCCCTTCTTGATGTATGCTGTACCTTTCACCTCCACTTGAACTCGAAATAATCATATTTATGATTGCATAGGTGACGTATATATGACGGGCAGCTGTTCAAATAATCTGCTTTCTCAATATGGACAAAAAGCGCTTCATATATCCTGCGCTTTTCATACTCGAGGCTCATTTGTTGGACCCTAGCTGTACTCTTTTAAGGCCTCTCCTCATGCTGTCAGAATTCTGCTCGAGCTTGTTCTTGGTTAGAACTTTGCCTAGACTTCCAGCTCTGACATTTCCTCAACTTTCTTAGTCACAGTCATGCAAGGAGTTACCTTCTTGTTGAAAACGCGGTTCTTATAACTTTTGCGCGATTGATGCTCATTCGACCGTCTACTTTTTGTACGCTTGGTTAAGTGAGCGCGCAAACAAACGCTCCGACAATTTCGAAGAAAACGGGACGATTAAGCGCATTCTAGCGATGTGCGTCGGTGTTCTGGTTGGTAGGATCTGGCTATTACCCACTTCATAGATCGCAAACCCCACATATCTGCCAGCTTTTACTCGTTGATTAGTCCTAGGATGAATAAAATCGCTGATCGAAGCATTTTGCCGACTTATGGAACATACCGAAGCGGGACTTGCCAACACCAAACACTCTGCCTTTACCCTTTGTTGATACCCTCCGACATTACTCCGACGCATTTCTCGGCGACGCACCTGAACACGGCGGTTTCCGGTCGAGTGTTTGTTGGATTAGCAATTTTTTTCCTCTTCACCCGCGAGCTCCGACGTCGCTCTGTACCGCCTTACCTCTCTCGTTCCCTCTTGCCCTCACCACCGTCTTACTGCTTCAACCGGATTTCTCGTATGTGCTCAGAACATCTTCGCAGCATACTCGCACGTGACATAACATGCGATTATCGAAGGGTAGGGCAACACGTACGACTCAGTTATCACTTTTTTTTCCAAGAACATTGTTTTGCGCAAATTTCTGACCCTCGTGTGAGTTTCTGAACAGGAGTCGCGTTCTCTACTCATTGGTATAGTGTTCTGAGAAGAAAGTGTTCGCCAGAGAAGATCTGAGATCGTTAGTCCGTTAGTAGCGGCATCGCTCGCAAACTAGGATAGTGTTTCTTAGCTAGCGGCTCGACAAAACGCAGCAGTGGGTCCTACAACGAATTCCGCGTACGTGGCCGCGATTGTGACTTCGCTTTGTCTGGCCTCTCCGCTAGGAGACTAATGATACGCACCCCGAGGATCCCAACAGTAGCTTTCTGTGGGAAAAATTTCATTAGCATCTTTATACTGATCTGCTTCTTGACAGTAGGGAAGCGCGCAGAGGAACTCACTCCCGAATGCCGAAAAGCGGTGGAGCGCATCTAAATATTGTTCCGAGCACTGTACTTCGTTTCCTTGGTGGCGGCGGTTGACGAATCTGGTGGGAATTTATCGTTTTGGGACTGTTCAGTCGTTTTGGCTCAGACGCTGGGGCGTGTCAGGGTAGGGATGGGAGTGGAGGGAAGGGATGGGTTTCGAGCGCCAGTCCTTCTCCAGCAATCTTTATTTTAATAGATGCTAGCGAGCTAACAACTAGTGAAATGCAGCATATAATATAATAATATATAGTTAAAAATTGCAAATTATACATACATAATAATACATAATACAATTCAATATATAATATATTATAGCTTGCAAGTGCATTGTAAACCTTTCTGATTCGTCAGAGTGTTATTCTACGCCCTACCATCTCTTCCTTACTTTTATGTAAGTTCTAACATTAAGTCATTTGTCATAGCACACAACTTATAAGGTATATTGTCTGTATACACTTTCAAGGAATTCTTGTCTCATTTCGTCCAATTCTTATGAGGGGCAGTCTATTGGCTGCATTTTCTGAATTTACAGATTTATTCATTTGCTCTCGAGTGCTGCACTCCAGCTAAGCTACTGCTTGGGCAGCGTTCATACTTCGCGACAGCAGCGGCGATCGCCGCGATCGTGGTGATCGCTACGGTCGCTGCGATCGCCACGATTGCCGCTGCTGTTGCAAAGCGATGAGCGCTACCTTACAGATAGCGCTGAAGATGGATCTTCAGTAGTTCGTATTTTTGTCTAGTTACTCCCAGGCGGAGGGGGCATGAAGGCATTTGAAGATACGCTCCACGAATAGAATTCGTGGGCTTTGGCGTACGAATACAGTAATGATCCCTGCGAAAGATAGGGCGTTTGTGAAGTGTGGATTGGATCGCTAGCATAGCGAGTAGCGCTAGCACAACCAATGGTGCCATCTTGAGTCCACAGCAATTCACCGGGAAGGGCTGTACTTTCATTCTAATTCACGTCCCGTCACACGCCCTATCGTTTGCAGGAATCATAGCTGCACATAAATGTTGATTGATTTACCAGTGGAAAAATAAGTGGACAAAACCGCTGAAGACATCCGAGTTAAGGCCCAGGTTCAGATTGGGGTGGCATACCACCAGTAGTACATCTCTGAACACAGTAGATGGGTGAGGCAACTTGTAGGGGTGGTGTTCCTTCGGCTAGGAAGTACCGTAGAGCTTTAAGACCCTTATTGTCAAACCGCGGCAGTGCCACAAGCCCTGCGACTACAGACAAGGTACAAGAAAGAAATTCCACCTGTCAGGTAATCGTGGAATGTGCCTCTGAATGCCCCTTCCTTGTGCTTCTCAAGAAACTGGTGCCCCCAGAGATTACTCGGTCGTTTTCAAGAGTGCATCATTCGATCGATATTCGTTTGTCAACATTTCGACCCGCTCACATCTATTACTGTATCGCTGATCCAATTCGTGCTTTTTCAGGCCACTCTATGAAGGAGCCGTGCTTCCGGTGTAAACGACCGACATACTTCAATGATAAGGTGAATAAGCTTGAGCTATAATGTCTGGGTAACTTTACGAATTATGGGTAGCTGCAACCTACAAAGTGACGCTGAGAAGAGCCCATCCCTGTTATGTTCCATCGAACGGACACCATTTGCTTTGACGACCTTCGTTCATAAGAGGTTCATGGACCAGTGACATTCATTATCCCGATTACAGTGGAGGCTGGGCTGTTCTTTACCTGACGCTTGTGCAACGGCTGCGCATTGCGTTGGGGCATTATTGTTTTGCAACGTCTGATATCAGTCTTTGTTAAGCAAAGGACAGTGTGACAGTTGTTACAATGAAAACATCCCAGTAAAAACGCATGTACGCAAGTTTGGGTCGGATGTGCATCAGCCACCCTTCACAACTTCGAGATGCGGAGATCCTTATTAGACCTTAATCGCTTCAGCAGACCTGCTCAATAATCTCCCTTTATACAATGAATTTCGTGAATACAGACAGAAGCACACGCACACACGGGCATAGCGATTCAATATAGTGGATTAGATTTTTGCTTTCAGATTGTCGGAGCGTGCCAGGGGGGGCTGGGGTTTGGCGCAGGCTTCAGCACGTTCCTCCATCATTAATTGGCGGACAGAGACAAAAAGGTAGAACCGGACTGGCGTGCGCGATAAGTCAACTCTCCCCACCCACAGTTTTAATGGCTGGGATATCAGGAACCGCCCGTGCCTTGTTGAACGCCTTGGAAATTAATCATATTGTATTTTCTCCGCGTCTTGACGCATGGTCACCAACCCTAAGGACATCCCTTTGAAGGTAGATCATATTGAGTGCCGATCAATAAACCGCCATCCTCATCACAAATCGATACGCCTTTTTGTCAGCCTCAATGCTTACATTGCGACAAGCTTGTCTGTCGCGCCAGCTTTCTCCACACTGAAATCAAGCTAAGCTATCGATTTGATCCGAGGCTAACATGTCAGGATATCAGGACAGGATCTGGTCCCCAATATTTGATCTTCGAAAGCTTGTCGATCGACCTGACATGTGCTGGGCAGAATTAGCATCGGTTTCTGCAAGATAGCAGGGACGAAAAGACTTGTGGTCAGAAATGTGCCGAAGAAGTAACGTGAAACAAAACTGCAGTAATCCTTTCAGATTGGCCCGTTGAAAGATGGGGCACTGTTCCATAAAGGATGTTTCAAGTGTTGGATATGTGGAACCAGACTTTCGTTGAAGACCTATCACAATAACCGGAACGACACACAAGATTTAGAGGTATGCGGGTTCATATAATTTTTCCTCGATAAAAATAGATCGGGTTGTGAAAAGAGGCGGGCGTCTGAATGGAAGAGGATTGATCAACAGAAGTCTGGCGAGCAATGTACAGTTATGATCCCTGCAAACTATAGGACGGGCGAAGGGGCGTGGTAAGGAGTGTAGCCAGAGCAGCCTTTTCCACCAGTCGTAGCGGACCTATGATGGCATCATTGGTGGCGAAGGCCGTTCTAGCTGCGCTCAAGTGCAAGTTCTGCTGTTTTCTATCATTTTCTGGGATCAGGCCAAGAGAGTTTCATGAATTGTCTGCTGTTTCAATGATTTTTGCGGCGTTCAATGAAATAGATAATCAGAGTAAATTCCATGAGGTAACGTTCATAAAGGTGATTTATCCCTCTCGCGAGTCTTTCCTGAAAACCGGCTGATCGATTTGCTCGATAGCTGTTTGCCTCCTTGAAAGAGTCCACGTACTCATTAGAAACAAAGCACGATCGACAAAAAATTTTCCCAAGGCGAAAAAATCGTAGTCGAATTTGGTCGAATTCATGCTTGATTTGTTGGTTTCAGGTTTTTTCTGCCGGCCTGGCCATGTTGCCACACCCGCCACTATGACCCCATTCGCACAGGCTATGTTTTCTATCGAAGTGGCACGGATTTCCTTTTGTTTACCGTCTGCATACTTCTTCAGGATCTTCTGACAAGAAACGCTTACGACTGACACTCCTACTTTACTCCCGCCGATTCTGAGAAAGTTCACGCTAGATCGCTTGAATAATACTTTCACCTGGCGGTAGATTTGTTCGTAAAACGGTTGCCCAGGGGTAAGGATCGCAGAATTTCGTGTCGCCCTTAAAATGAAACTAGCCGGCGCCCGTGCCATCACAGTGCTGGTTTGATAACGGCACCCGTGGCGCAAGTAACAGGGATTCTTGCGCTCGGCCAGCAAACAACAAATGTGGTTTTGAATTCTTCGAGAGTAAAGCAGTCTAGTATTTTCAAGGGTAGCACAGCTGGTAATCGTTAGTAGTTCCTAAACTGCTTTTTTGGACGGCACAAGTCTTAGTGGGCGAAAGGTTCGTAGATATAGAGATTACCCCATAACATTTGAAATCCTCTACCACCCAAAGAGTAGCTGTCGACGCCTTCAAATAGCTCCAGACTGTTCCTGTCGGATGCAGGGTGTCTCCCGGGAGCGAGTCGGAACCCACACACTACAGTGGCGTTTTCTTCATAGCATCCCATCGAGACATATACTGCTCATCATTGCGGACTGTCGGGGCCGGTGTGAGCGGCGCGGTTCGATCCCGCGGCCGATTGGAAAGATCGATTTAGGAAGAAATCAACCACTGGTGGAAGCGCCGCGAGTGGGAACCGCTGATTGCGACCCGACAGTTGCAATGATATAAACTGTAATTGTGAGTGTAGGCGTCGATATTTCGTTCATTTCTTTTTCAGGTCAAATTTATTATTCTCCCCGAAGACGAAAGGCGACTACCCTCACAATCTGATGAGACCAGCTGGACCGACGTAATTCTGCCGAGCTCCCCATGTGCCGTTGCCATTCTCCCTTCAAATACTCGCTTGGCCCTACGAATAACTCAAATGCTCTACCTGCCGCAATTCACTATACACTGTTCATAACTATGCCAATAAAGCATTTTGTCAGATCACAGTTGAATAAATCCATCCTGTATAGTAGTTGTATGCCAATGAAGTATCTGAGGTGAGCTTTGCTGACTCCGTTCCGCCTGTAAGAGGTGCAGAGATTCAATCTCTGGCAACGCAACGTTGCATCGCGTGCGCGACATTCACACCAGGACCTAAAGGACCGTGTGTCGAATGGAATAGCTCGAAAGTAGTAGTTATTTCTCCAAAATCGTGGGTCTTCTGACCAGCACACGGTGTTAACGAGAAACTGGTGCTGTTCGGCTTGGGAAGGGCATTTTTCACTTTTGCCAGTTTCTTATGCTAGTTCCAGTTAAACTACGGGTTACACCTGTAGAGTCTTGTCAAGTGTGAACGAAGCTCTTGCTATTGCATAGATTTACAGGAATTCACAGGTCTCCACGAGGCACCGGCAGTGATTGATGAGATCCCTGAAATGCCCCCATCCAAGCCGAACTGCACTTAGAAGTGCTTTAAACTGTAGGTCTGTAATAACACCAATCATGCAAATTTTAATAATTTATAGATGTTAAACGCGACGCTATCCTATGTAAATCTCCTGGAAGTCCTGTTCTCTAATAATACTGATAGAGCATGTCGACATTCCACGCGCTAGCAGTGATCGCCCAGGCGGAATCGTTCTGTCGTTTCTTGGTTATCTCGGAAAGAAGTCGCCTGATCGTGTACGACTGCATGTATTGTCCGTGTAGATAGTGACTGGCAACACCGAGCAGCAACTGTGAATCGTCGTCGATGTTTGGTTCACTAGGGTGCTGGAATAGCGTGGTCATGACTATCGAATCGAACGCTTACTGAAAAGAAATCCTTACCCTCAAAGTCAACTGGAACACGTATTCACCGCAATTCTCGCCACTACAGGTGAAAAAGAGAAACAGAGGGCGGTCATCCAACTCTTTTCGTGGAGCCGACAAAGTACAGTTGGCAACGCGCCAACCACTTTGCGGTACCACATAAACAGACATTTGGTTGGCACCTAAAACGAGTCGGGTACGTAAAGAATAAATGAGTAGGTGCCAGTGATATCTCAGAAATAGAGGACAAAGTGGCAAACAGAGCCATTACACTCAAGGGCACATTTCGCAAGAGCTAGCTTCCCTCCCAGGGCACATCGTTGTTGGGGAATCCCCAATAGGGGGGTCGTATTTGGTCGCCAGGAGGGGGGTCGTATTTGGGCTGAGAAAAATTTATTTTGATAGTTGATTTTTCTCGCTTCATGGACGTTGTAAAGGGA